GATAGTTCTCTTTAGAACTGATGGCACGTCTGCATTGAGACCGAGGCCAAGGGTAGCTTTTGCCTCTTCTCCATCAGAACCATGGTGTTGACAAGAAAAATGTGTATGGATTGCTTTGGCTCTTAGAATATTAAACCGTTTGTATCTTGTCATGCATTTTCTCTAAGAATGTCCTTTTATTTGTCTTGTTCCTCTAGGGAGCTGTGCGCATGGCGGTGTGGTGAACATCAGCAAACCAGCTGTAGTTCAGCTCAACTGGCTAGGGTTTAGCTATAAGTACGGTGCCTGGGGTCGGGATTACTCTCCCCAGAATCCAGGCAATGGGCTGTACTGGGTGGCACCTTTGAATACAAATGGGAGAACTTTGCAATATTATAGACTCTACAATACAATGGATGATTTGCTGTTGTATACAAATGCCCGACAGAATCAAATTTCCTATGGCCAAGGCAGTGGTACAGTAGTTTATAAGAACAACATGTATGTCAATTGGTACAACTCCCAGAGCATGGCCAAAATTAACCTGACCACCAACAAGGTTGATTTGACCCAAACTCTCCCTAATGCTGCCTATAATAACCGCTTTTCGTATGCTAATGTTGGTTGGCAAGACATGGACTTTGCTGTGGATGAGAATGGATTGTGGGTGATTTATGCAACTGAAGCCAGCACTGGTAACATCATGATTAGTAAACTCAACGACAGCACGCTTGCAGTGCTCAACACTTGGCATACCAAGCAGTATAAACCATCTGTCACTAACACGTTCATGGTGTGTGGGGTTCTGTATGCCACGCGTACTCTCAACACCAGAAGAGAAGAAATTTTCTACTATTATGACACAAACACAGGAAAAGAGGGCAAACTTAGCATTGTGATGCAGAAGATGCAAGAGAATGTGCAAAGTATTAACTACCACCCTTTTGAGCAGAAGCTTTTCGTCTATAATGATGGTTACCTTCTGAATTATGATCTTGTCTTCCAGCCGCTACCCCAGTAAATTTTCATGTGTTAGGGTGGAGGGAAATCAAATTTTTACTGAAAAAAAATGTGGTCTTCTCTACTTATTTAGGGGCTGGGAGTGGAGTGGGGAGACGGGACAGGGCTCAAGATCCAAAAGTATATGTGCTTAGTTGTAATATTTGGGAGTTGGGTTCTTCTATGCTAGAGACTCAGGGCATTGCCTTATTGGATGAGCTCTCTTGGAAGCCATCTGCTTCCTGGGATGCATTCCTCAGACTGAAATAATCTGGAATTGTCTGAGGTCTTGGGCATTATGGTTCTAAGGAAACCTTTGTGAGGTAACATCTGAAAATTAAGGGACAAAAAGAGAACTTTGTATGGCTTTTGGAGATTCTTTGTACAAAAGAGGGTTCAAGGGCCAGTTCTCATATAACTTGAATGATTCTTCCATACTTGCAAGAAATCTGGGGCTTAACAGGCAGATTAATTTCTGAAACTCCTTGAGGGTCCAAACCTTCAACTTTGTTTTTCTTAGTAGTGCCTGGCATGATGTTTGGTATGTAGCAGATACGTAAATTTAGTGTGCTTGTGTTATATCTATGAAATGCTATGAGTTTTCTGGAGAAAATTCTTTTTCGGCATTAAATTGTCTAATCAGTCTCAGACAAATCTACAGAGGAGGCACTTTTTTTTTTTCTCTCCTGTTGGACACCTTCATAAGGGTCAGTAGAAGACTCCTACCTCATAACTTCATTCCAAAGGCAGCTCAGAAGATTAGAACTGGACTTAACAATCAATTCCTTTCACCTTCTCCCAACCCCTACTTAAAAAAATTAACTATTTTTTATGGAATGAATATAAGATAAGCAAAACTAATTTTCTTTTGTCTCATCATAAACTTTTACTTTCACGACTCTAACACCACAAGAAAAGCAAATGGCAGTGATAAAATGATAGCCTATTATAAAGCCCTTAGAGCATATGTTAGACTTGTATTAAGTCATATCAATGACTTAATGCAATTTTTGTCTTGAAGCCTGAAACTTGTAAGAAAATGACATTTTATTTTTTTTTGAGAAAGAAATGTGAAAATAAAAACCATTGAAAGTTTGTAGTACATCAGTGCAATCTGAAAACCTTGCAGGTATGTGTGCTTCGGTGCTTTTGAATGCCTTTATCATCTGGTCTTGGACTCCTTTCATTTGATGTTCAGAAGTTCTCGTTGATAGGACTGGCTCCTTAAATGCTGTACTATGCCCCTTTTAATAAATGATTAAATGTGATTTGAAAAACTGTTGTCTTTTGTGTTTTTTCACTCTTTTATTTTATTACCAAGAAACCTCTGACCAGTCCACACTTTGCTGTGAGGTTCAGAGAATGGTTTCCTCCCAAAAGCCAGGACACCTAAGAGCAGAGAACATCAATAGCTTTTAAGACTCCAAAGTCCGGGTCGGCTCTTTAGTTTTCATTTCCCTTTAAAATCCATTCTCTCTGGCAGCTTTTGTTGTATGAGCCTGCACTCTCTTCCTCTGGGATATAACCTTATGTACTTATTAATTTGCATGACTGATCTGATTATTTCCAATGTTAGACTGTATTTGTGTGGCTTATGCTCCTTTTCCGATTGAGCTATTAACCTGGGTCAGAAGCTGCCAGATCTTCCCCCAAATAGGAGGTCTTGGATAGAGAGCAGAAAGCCTAACTGGCCACACTGGGGAAAGAAATATTTTTACTAAAAAGAATGTGTTGGGGCATGAGTGACCTAGAGCTGAAAGGACACATAGGCTGAGAGAGAGGAGTGAGTGTAACTGAAAGGCTTATTTTTAATCCAAGAAGTGTTGTGAGTATTTTTAGCAAGATTTTTTTTGTATCTTTCAGGGCTGAGCATAGAGACAGGTATGGCCTTCAAAATGCAACAAGATATGAAGATAAAGACAGGTATGTCATGTGAGATAGAAGTTAAAAACAGTGATGTTATATTTAATCTGGCTCTAGGCAATTTTCCAGATGAATGTTTTTACCAAGTACACAGGATGACCTCTGAAGATTCAGGAAAGGAGGCAGGAAGCCAAGGTAATGCTAGCAAACAGCTCCTTATTTAAAAGGCAACAGAAGCGTTTGCATGAAAATACCGCTCTAACCCTTCTTGCCACTGGACCTAGTGTGATCAGCCTGCAGGAAATCTCCCTGCTGCCTAGGTTGAACAACCTAGGGATTCTGGATCAAGGGTTTACTGCAATGCAGCTACACAATGGAAATTTTAGCTGAAGTTCACCAGCCAGCATCCTTGGGGGGGGGGGAGGGGGGCGCGGGGAGTGTATTGTATATTTAAATCCGTTTTATTGAGAAGCAATTTACATGCAGTAAAATCTGCCATTGGTAAGTGTGTGATTAAATGAGTTTTGACAAATGTATACAGTTGTGTGAAGGCTATGATAATTACCACAGAAAACATTTCCGTCATCTCTCGGAGGTTCTCTGGCGCCCTTTCGTAGCCAGCTCTTCCCCTCAGCTCCTAGCCCCTGGCAACTACTGAGCTGCTTTCTGTCTCTGTGGAGCTGCACCATAGAATCATTCTGAGTCTGGTTTCTTCAGCTTCCTCTTGAAAAAGAAGACTAATGGGGTCAAATTACCCCAGGGGATAGCTGGACATTATCAGTGCTTCTTGGGGTTCCCTGTGTTTTCTTATTTGGGAGGAGGTTGCATAAGGGATTGTGAAGAGCTATGGTGAGCTCCTGCCTTTGTAAGTGTTCCCTGGTGGATGGCTTGAAATTGGCATGCAGAGGGGTCGAGCTCAGAGCGTCAATCAAGCCCACCTGGCCTCACCCCCCCAAGCTTGGAAGTTGGCTTTCCACCAGCCCTTTTTGGTATTTGTTCTCTAATGTCCACCCCTGTGTCACCAGCATGTGGATCCAGATGACCCCTGAGAATGATGGATAGTGGGAGCATTGTGTTTAACAGGACAAGATTTGTAGTCAAGCCAAACTGGATTTGACTCTGTTCTGCTGCTCATAGGTGGTATGGTTTTGGGCAAGTTCCTTATCATTTTCTGTATAATGGGATAAAACCACCTACCTCAGAGTCCTGTTGGGTGAATTAAAAGATACTGAGTATATAAAACGTTCAGTTCCGTTTTGGGCACATGCAGCCTTCCTTGGTGGCTCAGACAGAAAAGGATCTGCCTGCCTGCAATGCAGGAGACCCAGATCCCTGGGTTGGGAAGACCTCCTGGAGAAGGGAATGGCAACCCACTCCAGTATTCTTGCCTGGAGAATTCCTTGGACAAGAAGCCTGGTGGGTTTGCAAGGAGTTGGATATGACTGAGCGACTTAACACACTTCCTTCAACTAAAAGTTATTATCCCTGTTTATCCTCTTGGATTTTAGATTCAAAGTGGTCATTGGTTGACCAGATACAAAGCTTACTGGGATTAGAGTTTACATCCTCTCCCCTACAAACTTGTGGCAAAGTAACTCTTTGAGCAGGTGCCCTTTTGGCTTAGAGGGGCTCCATCTGTTGGACTCTGTTTCTCCTCACGTTCAAGATCAGTCCTCAGAGCTGATGTTTTCTATCCTTGGACTCCACGAGCCACACTGACAGGACCAGCAGAAATTGAGACTGCCTCCCTTTGCTTCTGAGCCACCGAAAACCTAAGTGAAAGCTGGCTGTCGTCAAGCCCTATGGATGGGGCCAACATAGATGGACGTGCTCTCCTGCTTGGGGCTTCCCTGGAGGCGCAGATGGTAAAGAATCTGCCTGCAATACAGGAGACGCGGTTTTGATCCCTGGGTCAGGAAGATCCCCTGGAGAAGGGAATGGAAACCCAGTTTTTGCTGGAGTCAATAAGCACATTTGTCTTCTCAGAACATGGGTGAGTATTTATTTTGTGCTTCACTCTTAATAAAATGAATTTATCTTTTGGGATTTGTTGTCACTGCCAGACTTAAGAGTGCGTTTTCCTCTCTTCTTGATTTGTGAACCAGTGAAAGGGCAACGATCATGAACAGGCGGAGGGTGACCGTGTGGCCGCCTCCAGGATGATGCTGGGATGTTCTGGGCTTGAGCCCTCGGTCATCACAAGCAGATGTCTCACCACGAAGGATGATGAGCCCCCTGTGCTCCAGAATGTTCCGGAACAACAAAAGGGTAAATTGTGATGCATCAGAAAAAGAGAGGCAGGAGCATTTCTGAGGCCTGCTCCCAGCCAGGGGAACAGACCGGCTAGCCTGGCTCATCCGTGGCGATGCTGTTTGGCTGTCGCTTGGGCTGCCAGGCCTCACATCTGTAGCTTGCGATGTGCCCACTCGTCTCTGAGATCGGCATCTGCTCCTGGACCACTTTCAGAGGGAACAGCCCCTGTTATTGAGGTCCACTGTGGAGAAAGATGGGCTCCACTCCATCCAGAGAGGGGGCTTCTGCTTGGGTGCCCTCCCTGGACACCTTGGAGCCAGGTGTTCCCCTGTGAGGATGGTTCTCTAGACCTCATCCCTGTAGGAATACTAAAGGGCTAAGAAACCTAAGTTTATGTGGAGGCTTTTATGGACTTTTTCTGCAGTTCAGTGTATAGGGTGGGTGACAGAGGATGGGGATGGAGTGATGAGCAGGGGTGAGGTTTATGTGACATCAAGGGAATTTCATTCCTGAGCCTTCCACCTGAGAAATTTACGCTGATCTCCAACTCTCTCTATCTTTTTTTTGGTTGAATTCTGCCAGCTTATGTGTTGCTTTTGGTTTGTTTGCTTACACTTTTTGCTTCGTTTGTTTTTGGTTGTGGCATATATTGTTTTCATGCCAGTATTACCAGTGATTTGCTCTGGCTTTCACCCCGGTGGGTGTTATCAGTCAGGGTTTAGTGCAGAAACATAACCACGTCTTCTAACTGGGCTGATGCTAATGCCATATTAGATAAACCTCACAGCGCCAGGAATGCAGCACAAGAGCAGGTTTCCCCTCCCTCACTTTGGGGACACTGTTTTTGCCATTTTATTCTTGGCTATTCCATCTCTAACATCTTCCTCATCTGCACCATCACTTTCTCCACCGGCAGCGTGCAGTGGGGGTTGTGGCCAGTTCCACCCTGATGGGGTAGAGCTTCTCTTCCTAGATGCCTCTCTTCCAAACTGTGACTCAGGGATGCAGACTCCCCCACCCCCACCTGGGGCTCCAGTGTCCCCGCCCATGGCTCCCACGGCCATGACGCTTGTCTGAGGCAGACAAACACAGGGAGAGCGGAATGGAGGGCCTTGGGTGGCAGCTGTTTGGCTCAGGCCTGATGTCCATGATGGCTCACCACCCGTCGGACCACACCCAGCAGACGGGCCACACCCAGCTGCAAGGGAAGCTGGGAAACATAGCGTGCAGCTGCGTACACAGGAGAAAAGAAAATGGCATTGCAAGGAGAAAAGGATTTAGTTACTTTACAAAATCCCTGGAGAGGCTGGAGGCATGACAACCAGTGAAAGTGAAAGTGGCTCAGTCATGTCCAACTCTTTGCGACCCCATACAGTCCTTGGAATTCTCCAGGCCAGGATACTGGACTGGGTAGCCTTTCCTTTCTCTAGGGGACCTTCCCAACCCAGGGATCAAACCCAGGTCTCCTGCATTGCAGGTGGATTCTTTACCAGCTGAGCCACAAGGGAAGCCCAAGAATACTGGGGTGGGTAGCCTATTCCTTCTCCAGGGCATCTTCCCGATCCAGGAATCGAACCAGGGTCTCATGTATTGAAGGCGGATTCTTTGCCAGCTGAGCCAGAAGCTGCCATTTTAGTGTTTAGCTTTGAGGTCACGCCCCTACCAATCACACAGAGATGGAGAACATACATCTACTACCATATCAAGCACAGAAATCAGGAAGCCACTGGTGTTATCTCTGCACCCTTCAAGCTGGTACCTGTGTGTTAGTCATTCAGTCGTGTCCGACTCTTTGCGACCCCATGGACTATAGCCCTCCAGGCTCCTCTATCCATGGGATTCTCCAGGCAAGAATACTGGAGCGGGTTGCTGTGCCCTTCTCCAGGGGATCTTCCTGACCCAGGGGTCAAATCCCACTCTCCTGCACTGCAGGCAGATTCTCTACCATCTGAGCCACCAGGGAAGCCCTTCAAACTGGTACCAGACGTGAAATGGAGTCCACTTACTGCCAACTCAACCAGGAAAGCCTTCTGTCTTCCCAGACCCTGCATGAATCCAGAACTGTGTCTACACAAGATGCTAAGAAATGTAGTTTATTCTTCCTTCCCCTGTGATACAGGGAAGATGATAGAAAAGCTTGGGACATGGCAATCTCATTTGATGATCACCGCCTTCACCATTTTTCTTTTTTACTGTACCACGTGGCTTGTCGGATTTTAGTTCCCTGTCCAGGGATTGAACCTGGGCCCTTGGCAGTGAAAGTGGGGAGTCGTAACCACTGGGCCACCAGGGACTTCTGGCTTACACCATTTCTGATGCTCCCATTTTGTCTCTGGTGACCACTTCTTTTAGCACATCCTCCCTCCAGATCATTCATCACTATTTCTCTTTTTTATGCTCAAACCCAGTGATGGCCTTGCACAATGCTGCAATAATGAAAATTTCTCCTCCAACAACTCACTCTGAAGGAGCTGAAGAAGGAGACATGACGTGACTTTTTAGAACTTTATAGTTCCTCTACCAGACTCTATCAGAGATATTGGAATGGTAACCCATGGTGAATCCATCTGTTGACCCACCAGTCCTCTAAAAAATGTTTAGGCTCTTCACTTCCCTTTTGAAGCTAAGAACAAGGATGTCTCTATGGTGTATGTGTGCTCAGTTGTGTCTGACACTCTGCGATCCCTTGGACTGTAGCCCACCAGGCTCCTCTGTTCGTGGGATTCTCCAGGCAAGAATATTGGAGTGGGTTGCCATTTCCTCCTTCATGGGATCTTCCCTGCCCAGGGATCAAACCCGAGTCTCCTGAGTCTCCTGCATTGGCGGGCAGATTCTTTACCAGTAGGGCCACCTGGGAAGCCCTCTCTTCTATTGGTGGAACCATCCAGAAACTTCCAGAATTTGGGATAAGCCGTGTTCCTTATTTTTCCCCATCTGTCATCCCTGAAGTATTGACCGATGCTCCCCCCTGACCCCTGGCAGACCCAGGGGTCCTCGGGCTTAAGGGCTGCTTTTGGGAGGTGATGTTTGACTCAGAATTTCTGAGGTGACAGGGCAGATAGGGACACCCAGGGCCTTCAATAGACTCTCACCTGCTGCTGAAGAGAATCCTGGTAGGTGTGAGTACGGTAACAGGATCTTCCTTCTAAGGGTGCCACTCAGGCTGTGGATTTTCTCAGAACCTTCCTGGGAAGGGCTGAGTTCTGCAGCTCCCCGCCCCCCCCCCCCCCCCCCCCCCCCCGAGACCATCTGCCGCTGGCTGGAGCCAGGGTGGCAGACTTCCCAGCAGGGTCTCAGCAGTCAGGGAGAGGAGGGTTTCTGGCAGCATAAAGCTCAGGGAATTTGTTTGGGAAAGAAAGTTTATAATAACAGTGTTTCACTTTCTGCTGAATAAAACATTTGGAGAGCTTGTCTTCTCCCAGCAGAAAAATAAAATGCTCTGGTGGCCATAGAACGGTTGTTCTTTTTAAATGTTGTTTTTAATAAAAAGCAGAGAGCTGCAGCCATCTGACCTCCACTCCGCCCTCCCTCCCGACCCTGTTCTGGGCATCGTGCGGGAGCACAGGGCACCCCAGGGCCCCGGGTCTGTATTGCACGCTTGCCTTTAAGCAGATGGGGAAACAGCCATTTGAACGAATGGGGCATGAGCCCCGGAGAAGGTACAACCAGATGCAAACAGACCAGTGAATCTGGTTGTTTTGCATCTGGCGGGTAGTTCTATGGCGATGCAACTTAATGGTGTTGTATGTAAACGGCTATTAGCAGACTCTGGATTCCGAGCACCCAATTAGGAAGTATCCTGGAAGCTCTCCCTTGGTGCTGCTCTCCTGTCGTTTGGCTGCAAATCGGGCCAGCAGCCGAGCTCCCGTTTGCCCAGCTGTCATCACGGCCTGCAGCGAGAGAAGCTTCCTTTTCATCAACAGGAGAGAGGAGACTGTGGAGTGGGCCTTGCAGTGCTGGGAGATCTCAGAGGTGGTGCTTTTCAGAGCTGATGCTTTCCATGGCTCCTTCTTGCATGGGGACGGATGGCAAGCCCACACATCATCCCGTTCCCAGGGCCAGGCTCCCGTTGACCATGAATCGACAAAATCCAGAGCCAGTTAATCGTAGAGGTTCAGTCCTCAAGAGTGACAGTTTAGGCCCTCGGACAGGGTGAGGAAGAGGAGGTGCTTTTTCATCTTGAACCAGCCTCACCTGCCCAGAGACCTGGGTGGGTATAGCTGTGCCTTGTAGGATTCGGAGGCCTCAGGCTGCTCAAGGTCACTCAGTGCCTTAGGGGTTTGTTCTCAGTCAAAATGCAAAGGATTTGACCGAGAGAATTTGCTTTGTTTTTGACACCTTGCTCGAAAGGTCTGAGGAACGGGGAGCTTGAGGACTTTAAAGATGGGGGTGAAAGTGAAAGTGAAGTCGCTCAGTCATGTCCGACTCTTTACGACCCCGTGGACTGTAGCCCACCAGGCTCCTCTGTCCATGGGATTCTCCAGGCAAGAATATTGGAGTGGGTTGCCATTTCCTTCTCCAGGGGATCTTCCCAACCCAGGGATCAAACCCAGGTCTCCTGCATTGCAGGCAGACGCTTTAACCTCTGAGCCAGCTAGAGGAGTCTCTGACGGCTTACAGGATGTGGGAAGGAGAGAAAATGGCAGGAAGCACACACTTTGCCTGTTAATACATTTACTGATTCTCCCTCCGCCCCCGCCAGGGAAAACGCCTGCTTTTTTCTTCTTGTTTTTATGGATAGTATTAAAAACAACGTCTTCCCAGGTGGCTCAGTGGTTAAGAATCTCCCTGCCAATGCAAGAGACGCAGGTTGGATCCCTAGGATCAGGAAGGTCACCTGGAGAAGGAAATGGCAACCCACTCCAGTATTATTGGGCTTCCTTGGTAGGTTAGTTGGTAAAGAGATTGCCTGCAATGCAGGAGACTCAGGTTCGAATCTGGGCTGGGAAGATCCCCTGGAGAAGAGAATGTCTGCCCACTCCAGTTTTCTTGCCTGTAGAATGTCATGGACAGAGGAGCCTGGCAGGATACAGTCCATGTAGTCGCAAAAGAGTTGGACACAGCTTTAACAGTTTAGATTTAGCACTAAAAAACAACAACAATTAAAACCGACAACCACCTCTCTGACCACCTTCCAATATACTCCAAGCTGCACAGAAAAGAGTAGAGATGTGGACTGTGGTCACTGAGGCTCACATTCTCTCTGCATAGCTTGTTTCTCCAGGGCTGGTCGGCTTATGCTTGTTGCCCTCCTGTAATTGTGAATAGTGACACCCTTTCATTCTCAGAGGTTCTAGTTTGACAATCATACAGTCACCCTATCCGTAGGCATCTCATAGGAAAACATCATTTGTTCTGTCTCTTTTATTTAATCTCTTCATTTAATTATTTCTTCTTTTTTTTACTTGTTGGGAGGAAGCAGCAAAGAGACACATATTTCTACTTTCATACAGCAATTAAGTGGCAAGCAGAAATGTTGAGTCGATTGGGAAAACCAATCAAGCTTCATAGTGATCTGATCCAGACGGAACACAGGGTCCCTCATCCCTCTCTAGGCTCCGAGGCTCACTCAACACCAGTGCTCCTCTTGGTGGCCACAGGGAGGAGCATCAGGGAAACTGCCCCCCTAGGCTGGTCTGCTGATGGCCTGGTGGCCTGAATGTGGCTCTTCTTGTACCACATGCTGGGGGAAGATTGGGAAAGATTGAATGCAAAGGAGAAGAGTGCAGCAGAGGATGAATTGGTTGAATGGCATCACCGATTCAACAAACATGAACTTGGGCAAACTCCTGGAGACGGTGAGGAACAGGGAGACCTGGTATGCTGCGGTCCACGTGGTCGCAAAAAGTCAGACACGACTGAGCAACTGAACAACGATGCTGGAGATGTGGCTGTGTGGCAGAGGTATCCTGAGACAGAGGTACTCAAAGTGGGACTAGGTCACTGTCACATCGGCTCCTAGCTCCAGCTGTGAAGGTTGGAGCTTCTTCCACTGGGGAAACCTTTACACACGCACACACACACACACACACGCACATACGCACATACACTGTTGTTGTTCAGCCGCTCAGTCGTGTCCGATGCTTTGTGACCCCATGGACTCAGCACACCAGGCTCCCCTGTCCTTCACCATTTCCTTGAGTTGCTCAAACTCATGTCCATTGAGTCAGTGATGCCATCTAACCATCTCGTCCTCTGTCATCCCCTTCTCCTGCCTTCAGTCTTTCCCAGCATCAGGGTCTTTTCCTGTGAGTCAGTTCTTCGTATTGGGTGGCCAAAGTATTGGAGCTTCAGCTTCAGCATCAGTCCTTCCAATGACTATTCAGGATTAATTTCCTTTAGGATGGACTGGCTGGATCTCCTTACTGTCCAAGGGACTCTCAAGGGTCTTTTCCAACACCATAGTTCAAAATAGGTTTCAAGTATATATATATATTATATATATGATAATAATATATAATATATATTATATATAATTAATATATATATGAAATATATAAATATACATTCAAATGTAGATTCAAATATAAATAGTCAATAAAGCAGAAATAGATGTTTCTCTGTAACTCTCTTGCTTTTTTGATGATTCAGTGGATGTTGGCAATTTGATCTCTGGTTCTTCTCCCTTTTCTAAAACCAGCTCAAACATCTGGAAGTTCACGGTTCACGTATTGCTGAAGCCTGGCTTGGAGAATTTTGAGCATTACTTTACTAGCGTGTGAGATGAGTGAAACTGTGTAGTAGTTTGAGCATTCTTTGGCATTGCCTTTCTTTGGGATTGGAATGAAAACTGACATTTTCCAGTCCTGTGGCCACTGCTGAGTTTTCCAAATTTGCTGACATATTGAGTGCAGCACTTTCGTAACATCATCTTTTAGGATTTGAAATAGCTCAACTGGAATTCCATCACCTCCACCAGCTTTGTTCATAGTGATGCTTCCTAAGGTCCACTTGACTTCACATTCCAGGATGTCTGGCTCTAGGTGACTGATCACACCATCATGATTATCTGGGTCATGAAGATCTTTTTTGAACAGATCTTCTGTGTATTCTTGCCACCTCTTCTTAATATATTCTGCTTCTGTTGCTGCTGCTGCTGCTGCTAAGTCACTTCAGTTGTTTCCGCCTCTGTGCCACCCCATAGACGGCAGCCCACCAGGCTCCCCCATTCCTGGGATTCTCCAGGCAAGAACACTGGAGTGGGTTGCCATTTCCTTCTCCAATGCATGAAAGTGAAAAGTGAAAGTGAAGTTGCTCAGTCGTGTCCCACTCTTCACGACCCCATGGACTGCAGCCTACCAGGCTCCTCCATCCATGGGATTTTCTAGGCAAGAGTACTGGAGTGGGGTGCCATTGCCTTCTCCGTCTGCTTCTGTTAGGACCGTACCATTTCTCTCCTTTATTGAGCCCATCTTTGCATGAAATGTTCCCTTGGTATCTTTAATTTTCTTGAAGAGATCTCTAGTCTTTCCCATTCAATTGTTTTCCTCTATTTCTTTGTGTTGATCACTGAGGAAGGCTTTCTTATCTCTCCTTGCTGTTCTCTGGAACTCTGCATTCAAACGGGAATATCTTTCCTTTTCTCCTTTGCTTTTCACTTCCCTTCTTTTCACAGCTATTTGTAAGGCCTCCTCAGACAGCCATTTTGCTTTTTTGCATTTCTTATTCTTGGAGATGGTCTTGATCCCTGTCTCCTGTACAGTGTCATGAACCTCCATCCATAGTTCACCAGGCTCTCTGTCTATCAGATCTAGTCCCTTAAATCTATTTCTTACTTCCACTGTATAATCATAAGGGATTTGATTTAGGTCATACCTGAATGGTCTAGTGGTTTTTCCCACTTGCTTCAATTTAAGTCTGAATTTGGCAATAAGGAGTTCATGATCTGAGCCACGGTCAGCTCCCAGTCTTGTTTTTGCTGACTGTGTAGAGCTTCTCCATCTTTGGCTGCAAAGAATATAATCAATCTGATTTCAGTGTTGGCCATCTGGTGATGTCCATGTATAGAGTCTTCTCTTGTGTTGTTGGAAGAGGGTGTTTGCTATGACCAGTGTGTTCTCTTGGCAAAACTCTATTAGCCTTTGCCCTGCTTCATTCTGTACTCTAAGGCTAAATTTGCCTGTTACTCCAGGTGTTTCTTGACTTCCTACTTTTGCATTCCAGTCCCCTATAATGAAAAGGATATCTTTTTTGGGTGTTAGTTCTAAAAGGTCTTGTAGGTCTTCATAGAACTGTTCAACTTCAGCTTCTTCAGTGTTACTGTGGAAAATTCTGAAGGAGATGGGAATACCAGACCACCTGACCTGCCCCTTGAGAAATCTGTATGTAGGTGAGGAAACAACAGTTAGAACTGGACATGGAACAACAGAATGGTTCCAAATAGGAAAAGGAGTATGTCAAGGCTGTATATTGTCACCCTGCTTATTTAACTTATATGCAGTGTACATCATGAGAAATGCTGGGCTGGAGGAAGCACAAGCTGGAATCAAGATTGCCGGGAGAAAATATCAGTAACCTCAGATATGCAGATGACACCACCCTTATGGCAGAAAGTGAAGAAGAACAAAAGAGCCTCTTGATGAAAGTGAAAGAGGAGAGTGAAAAAGTTGGCTTAAAGCTCAACATTCAGAAAACTAAGATCATGGCATCCGGTCCCATC